ACTGGGACTGACCACACAGAAGGGCGACTTCGTATAATCGATGAAGCTCCGTCTTGTTTAGAGAGAATGCCATTAAAATAGGCGTGCATGAACATCATCGCCATTGGAGACAGTGACATAAGTACTGACATTGATGCTACACAGCCTGACAACCACAGAGTTTAATTACATTTAAAGTTAAAAGAAGATACAACGGTGGACGAGGGTGGGATCACAAGCGTTCTGAGGTGCTTATATCTCCGAGCGCTTAATCAGAACCTGGAGGGGAAGCAACAGCACGAACATCTGGATGTGAGCGACAGTATGAAGGCACTGGGCGCTAGAATTTCGACCACCAACAGTATTTTATTTTTGTGTCAAAAGAGACGTCCTCCTACAAGTCAAACACCAAACACGGCGTCATTTAGTTTACGTGATTCTTGGCGCACATTTAATCAACAGTGACCACGGGATCGACCCGAACCGGTCATTTCAGGTTATCTACAGGGTGTCCTATTTATCGCCTGTACCAATCCAATGGAGCGACCTGACAGCCAGAATACAACACTATTATCTAGCGACCTTGCGATGAAATTAGTCTGTCTCCATCACGTGACACGCTGCGTCGACCAATAATTTACCTTGTTAATTAAGTCGTTCAGAAGTGAAACAACAGGCTTATAGTGGTGCTATGCCCGATATCTTTGACGTTATCTGCTCAGAGTCACCTTAAAAAACACTGGGCAGCGTCACCATTATCAGCATTTATTAATGCAGCAACAAACGACTATGAGGTCAAACATCAGGCCCCCAGAAACCTAAAGAATTACAGACAACTCTCATAGATAACCAAAGTCTAGGAGATGAAAAAGCTTCCATAACGGCTATATGCGACTTCATTTAATCCGATCAACCGGTCCGGAAAGGGAGGACGTTAATGAAACGAACTATGAAGATAACGGATAAGAACAGGGAGAATATCATTAATTATCGGCTGGAGGTATTGAATAACCATATGAAACTGAGTATAATGCTGGCATTAGCTTCCAATCAACAGTGTAAATTCAGCAGGGCTTTCATTGATTCAATTTAACGAAGCAACTGGACTTGAAATAGCTAAAACGAGGGTAATATATCAACCGTGCAACCGTATTCCCAAGGATGATCTCATAATATCCTCAGCGGGTTGACATAGCGTCCAGGGGGTCCAAATCTGGGGAACCAAGCTGCATTTTGTCCCGAATGATGGTTCACCAAATGTTTCCATTGACAAAGGTGACTGAACGGCACGACTACTTCATTCCAACGACCGACAACGGTAATTTTTCTTCCGCAAAAAAATCTCTCATTTCTTTGATCACAATTAAGTTGACGGAGCCAAACCGAAAACACCATGTTTGCAGACAAACAAATCGAGGTGAAGAAACCGATCTTTTCAGGCAACTAAACTAGTCCCACCGGAACGGGGACAGAATGAATTGGCGCCTGAATCACGGAGGTTAAGAAGATGATTGACAACCTCTAATGTCTACGTCACCACTACAGTCCGACTAATAATAGTTTGTGGCTTAAAGACAGAGCTTCCACATCTGGCGATCAAAGGCGTCTCTGGCATTAGTTTGCTTTGCGTAGGTTGATGGATTATCAGGAGATTCTTGAGAATCAAGCAGGGTTTCGCCCTGGTCGAGGATGCATCGACCATACGCTTACCTTGAGACAAATTCTCGAACAGCGTCACTCCTTCAGAAGTCCAACGTTAGACGTTTTTCTGCACTTCAAAGCTGCTTTGACCCTGTCTATCGTTAGCAACTTCGGCAGTGTCTGGCGATCAAAGGTGTCCCTTCCAAATTTCTGTCCCTTATGGGAGCACGGTATGCGAACTCCTATGGGCGCGTACGAGTATACAGGAAGCTCTCGCCTGAGTTCATCACGTCCAGTGGTGGTCCTCTTTTCCCTTTCCTCTTCAACTTTGTTATTGATATGCTAATTGAAATTCCTCTACCTGCCACTGAAACCTCGGGAGTCGAAGTGCTCCCGGGACGTTCACTCACAGACATTTAGTATGCAGACGATATTGTTCCCCTTGTTTCAGATCTTTCCCAAACACAAACGATTTTAAATAACCTAAATAACTCTACCGCACCGTTTGACATGGGCTTCACATCTGTAAAATGTAAAGTTCTGATACAAGTTCTGTACTCTTCAATTCACCATGCGTACTTACAAAAATCGTCTTATAACTTGGTGAAAATAATGCCGTAATATTTTCTGGTCCAAGAGTTAGTATCCCAACTACTTTGAATTACGATTACCATGTAGTATTCAGAGTTAGTCAACTAGAACTACACTACTTCAAAGAAATTTGAAATTTGCCGCTTAAAGATGCTAACAACTACACCACCCTACAGTGTGTTGCAAATCAGGGGAGAAGTGGTCGTAGTAAGTGATGTTACAACTGCATTCTTGGTGCATTCGTGCAACCGCAGACGTCAACGGATAAGGATGGCAGTTCGATTAGCCATTTTAAACATCTTACAATGAAAAATCACCTCAGTTATATGGTTTTCAAGATATTAGTAATGAAATACACTCTATCCCTGTGTCCACTTACCAATGCAATCGGTTGAAGAATCAAAAAGTGATACAGGATCTGAAGGCTGAGAGCTAGCACTGACCAGGACACATCATCTAGTGGTTCCACAGAGTATACAGCTGATACGGAAAAACAAAAGAATGGGGCGAAAAGCGAGGGGAATGAAAAATTAAACGCCAATGGGTATGCGTCGCAATTTGACACAGAGAGGACAGATAAGCTTGCGAAATTGCTCCTGTACTAGAACAAACGACTGCAATGGCAGTGTACCTACTCCAACCCTTTAAAAGGAACCGAACAGTAACACTAAGAGCTGAGAAGCACAAAGAACGTAAAACTTAGGAAAGTAATACTTGTGACATTCTCAGTCGTACGACGAGAGTCTCACAAGTCAACGGGTGCGGAGATACAGCCATCTATCTATATTTCAAGGTCAGTATGTTGCGTTAGCTTACAGTACTCAGCAGAGCATGGAGGTTCCCAACAATGAGGGCAATGAGGCACAGCAAGTACCTCAGTAAGTACCGCAGTGGCACATCACGGCATGTAACCGGGCTAACGCTGCAGCACTACACGAGACAAAAGTTGAAATCATACAAAAACAGAAAAACCTAGTGATAGGACGGATGGAGTCATCAGTTGAGTGAAGGAATCCTGTTTAGAGATAGGCCTTTAGGCTCCGTCGAACACACAACAATGCATTGCAGTTGCTTGATTAAAAATTCAAAACTTACAAGAATGAGGTGACGGTGAGCAAAGGTACGATGCACGGTCATATTTTCGCGTATCAGATAGAGAACCAAAGTTACTAGTGTTGACTGACTGATTCCGTGCTACCTAATAGGGTGAACTCACTAGAGCGTGGCACACAGAACACCTGAGTCTAACCGTTTCAAATGCACGACCCATGTCTGTGAACTTTAATGCATGTTCAAGTGTTTGACTCAGGTTTCCTGTTTGCCGCGGCCCAGTCGCCCACAATACATTTCTTTAGTTGACAGTGAGGACAAGATCAACCGATCAACCCCGGTGGCCCGGGTTGTTGACGTGACTTTTGGGTTCGGTCTGAAACGTAAACTCCTTCCGAAACGTAAACAAGGCACACCTAAGTAGCTGGAAATGTGCAGTTTAGGCTGGATCAAATTTGCTTTCCGTTGTTGTTTGTAACACGGTCACACGGTGTTTGTACCGTTCGATATCCACTGACAACCCACAAAATACATTCTTACTGGTTTGATGAAGTGAATAAAAAAAGGTGAACCTTTCTTTTACTTGACTTATAAACCAAACAAACTTGCGACGTAACACGAACGGCAATATTTTAGAAGACTGGCACTTTTGACACAGTAAACACGAGCAACAGCGCCGTAGCAAGTACAGAACTCACACAGTAGCTTCTGAGTGCATCAACCATACAGACATACAATAGGGGAACCAAAAATGATCGGGAAACTCACTGGTCTGATCCAACATTAGAACAGGGATTAAAAGCAATAACAAATGCTGGATGAAATACACGGTCCATTCGAAAGGTAGCTGAAATGAAAACAAGGGGTGACACTGAGGATACTATAAAAGTATAGACAAGCCTGACAACAATGTTTTTTGCAAACAACAATGACGTATTGTGATCTACTACGGCAAGCCATAGGCAATCACAAGAAATCGCCAATCACGTTTGCAACGAGAATGTTACTACGTACAGCTGGGCAGTAACTCAGTCGTAGCGAGACAGTTTTTCCAGAGGTTTACAGGTTTCGGTCCTCACTTATCCGCTTAGATGACAAAAACCCCGGAATCAACTGAAATTCCATCTTCCAGTGACACTGATCTGTGAATGTGGTGGTGAAGTACTAGTGTGACTGTGAGTGATGATGACAATGAATGGAACCTTATGCGATCGCGGTGAAAGTATTGCAATCATGTGTACTTCAAAACATTTTGAGGTGGATAGCATTGTACCAACGAACATAATTGATTCGACAAACGACTCTTTGAGCAATTGATCCGAGTATGTCTTACAACAGACCTATCCACAGCATTCCAGTGAACAGCGGAAAGGTGACGCTCACCAACTTTACCGGTCATTTTGTTTTAGAACTGACGTCAGCACGTATGTTGGCACCATAACACGGTATCGTAAAGCACTGATGGAAAACTGCCGGGCAAACCACTTTAAATTTTTTGAGTGAGCAGGGTCACCAGAGTGGTATACTCTACTGTGGAAACAAGGGTCGGTATCTGATATTATTCTGCTTTTTCTTAATTTGAGGGCTGTTTTCGACTTTGACCCGCGGCGGACATTATGGTAAGCCACATCAAACCTCAACTACATTGTAAAGATCAGAGTCAGCTCCTAAGGACAAAAGAAGTTACGTGCCATTTCCCCGAAATAACTCGTATTCAGCTTCCTCTTGTTTTTCCATAGAACCGGAACAATAATAAGCCATCTTGCTGAAAGCTCGTCGGCTGAATTTGGTAACGTGCGCAAGCCGCATCCATTGTTGGCGGAACCCATCCAAACCATTAAAGGCAAAGACTGAAAACGCTATAACGTTTCCTCCTTCCGCTTTTACGATACACTTGTCTTACTCTCCGGAAATCAGACGTAGGAGTCTTTGGTACGCCTTTTGAAGCTTCTGTCGTGTTTTAGGACACTGAGGGGTTGTCGAAGGCTGGTTTCAATAGGATTCCAAAATATACGATTATATTCTCCTCATTCTCAGCGTGTACCGAAAGCCTCTGGCAATGAATCTTCCTCCCTAGATGCACCATTTTGTCGTGACAAACACTCAATGACTAAATGAAGGCGTTATCGGACAGCAATCTTCCTTCCGATGCGCTCGCTCCCTAAGGGGGTCACTTGATTCTGGATCCATATATTTTTAGACTGCGGTGCAAAATATCCAACCCAAAAATAAACGGAAATTTTTCGCAAATTGGCCATATTATTCCACAACAAAGACCGAAATTGTAGTAATCAGTAATGCTTGATATGCCGATTGCTTTCTATCTGGTTATGACGAATCAGGATTTTCGAACCGAAATTGTTGCTCGGTCACCTTAAGTGCGCATTCCCGGTGCTAAATGGTTGGCTTGAGAGCTGATCCCACGGTACGATGCCATGGCTTCTGTGCTGCGTTGATGGATGGTATTTCGGAGACTTGGCTCAACGGTGGTTGGCTTACTGTTCGAGCCAACACAAACGCTATAAGGCATTGACGTGCTAGAGGGCTAAGTAGCTCAGCAGTTAGCACGTTAACCTACTGACTCTTGTCTAGGCTCGAGCAACCTGACAATATCTCATCCCATGTGCTTCCTTCGGGTAGCATGGCAGCTGGACACCGAAAGGGTGCGACAGCTGAACGATGATTATTAATTAATATTATTATTGATGAGCTGGGCTGCTTAATGATAAATCACCTGTCAAATAAGGTGTACTGGCTTAGGTTCATTGGTGAGAACCGAGAAAGGAGACGCTCGCGTACGTCAGAAGTGAGATGCAGGCCAGTCAATTCACTGAAGGTATACGACAGGAAACTGATTAACTAATGTAAAGGTATTGCAGACAATAAGCGAGAAAGCTACAGATAAACATGTAGTTACAAAGTAAGGTGGTTTTAACATCATCTTAGTTTGTAAGTGGGGACTTATCTTCACATATGCCAAACTCGGTGTCCAAACACACAGGGTTTACGAAAATTCGGAGACTACAGCCATCTTATGGATCCCGAAAGCGACGCAACCACCAGTGGGCATTCCTAGACCGTAAAGATAATGTCATATCAAGGTTTGCAGCGTTGTTGCTGGAAATGAGTGAAGCTGCTCCCCTGACATACACAAATGAACTGTGTGTCTCGTGTCACAGATCTCTGGCTACCCCAAAGGTGGGTAAAACAACAATATTCAGTAAGGGTTGGATATTCTCTTTCATCGTTATCAATAATTACAGAACAAGTACAGTTTCGGTCTTTTCCGGTTTTTTTAAAGAATACCAAATGCGATGAAATCACACATCATCCACTTAGACTGAACACGCAGCCAAGTAGACATTTAGAAGAGATTACCGTCCCGTTTAGCACTTCCAAGAAGGTTATCCGCCCCAGTAATTTTGAGGAGGTTACGCGCACTGCTTCAGTGTCAGCTTCTTTCCTGGGATGTTTTTGGATAACTGAGGTGATGACATGACATTTTGAATAAATGCAAGCGCACCGATAAATCGTACAGTAGAATGTTGTGCCCTTGAACATGTTTAAAAGCTCCATGCATGTGTGATCCATTCAGTAACACTAGATTGTGCAGCAATTCTGCGTGATCGTGCTGCAATCTGAGTTAATTATCCTACTTTCAAGCCGGCTCACGTAGATGCTCTTTTAACCCGAGCTGCCAGTGATTTCGGCATGTTCCATGCAGTTTTGAATATCAAACAAGCAGTTCTTCTGCACATGGGACCCAAGAATCAATTAAGTTCGGTTCGGGGGGTTGTCCATTGTCAAAATAACAATTTAGAGATTACAGTGGTGATGGTACTTACTGGGCTACAGGGAAATCTGGGGATGACCGAATAGAGGAATCTGAGTAGGATGAGATAACGAGTGGCGAAGACCCGTAAACTGAACCCAAAAACCTGGAAAACAAAACATAGTAACTGTCCGAACTATTCAGATTCCGCTCAATCACGATTTGCGTTTCGGTCACCAAGCATCACACCACATTAACTATTTGTTGTGGCGGAATTTCCTTCCACACGGGTGCGAACACAAGAGTAGCAATTTTTTTTTGGAAACTTTAATTCCTGACTTAAGAGCCATCCAGGTTAGCAAACCAGGTGTGAATTCGATTTCGTTTGAGCAGAGACCTCTCCTTCCCCACGAGAAATAAAAGGTGCCATACCTCATAGGTGGTCCCTCTCTAAGGATGCGCTGTACACGAAACAGCTGAACGTACCTGACGAGTATTCAGCACAGGGAATGCCAGAGCCAGAAGAGGTCCATTCAACATATGCATTTGCAAGCGGAAAAGCAAGGTAACAAGATGGCTGGGCTGGCAAGCCAACATTATAATCTGCATAGACGGAAACACAAGTGCACGTGATAATAGGAGAAAGGGGAAATAAACGGTAGGAAAATAACTGATCCCACTCAGAAATAACTTTTGAATAAGGCTACGAATGGCGTTGCAAACAGCTAGCTATGGAATGATATATATCAAGACAATAGGGGTTTAGTATGCAGTCATTCCAAATGGAACAGAAGCCGTCATACTCACGTAAGACATGTAATCAGGAAGGCGAATCCGAAAGGGGGGGGTTAGAAAGCCACTGGATTGACGGACGACACAGACATAGACTTTCACCTTTCCTTGCGCAATAAAACGCCTGCAAGGCTCTGTAGATTGAGCCAAAACTAGCTCCTAATTCACCAAAAAGCCGAGTATATTGCCCTTGACTCTTTTGACCCTTTCTTTCGTTCTTTTTTTTTTCTTGCTTTGCCTTGGTCAGATCCTCATTGACGCACAGCTTAATCAGTATAAACGTTCGTTTGCAGCGCGCCAACCCGAACTTACCGTTCAGCAAGCATTAGTCTTTTATTGGTTGCAAGTCTCCAGGATGGAACAGCGCCTCACTCAATTCTTTTAAGAAGTATGTGTAAACTTGCATCTATCATCTCCGAACATTCGTCAGAATTCTTCTATCACTTGTGTATTCCGCTGGTTTCGAACGAAGGCGACCCATTCAGTCTCAACAATCATCATCCTAACTCTCGTTAAACAGCAAGTGACAGACCTCGAAATTTGTGAACACTTCAGTGATCCCCAGCGATTGGCTTGCCTAAATATGGAAATATGCCCAGTACTTTGACCCCGTTTGACAAAGCCAACGCTGTTATCCTTTTTTTACCGCAATAAATGTGATTTTCCGGGAACGGGGGAAGCAGCCAGAGGGCCTGTTGTAAAGAATGATGGACACTGAAACGGAACATAGTATCCCCTGACCTCTGCCTCTCGACTTCCCCTGTCTAGGCTTCGGCAACCTGACAGTATCCCAACCCTCGTGCCTCGTTCGTGTGGCATGGCAGCTAGGCACCAAAATGGTGCTGCAGCTGAACGATATATATATATATATATACATATATTTATACAGTGTCCTAATGAATAAAATGGCATGTAAGCCAAGCACGTCGGTGAACAACCATGGAGTTATGGACAAGTGAACAGTCTTGGGAATTCGAGGATAACAAGAAGTCGGGACCACAGGAAGAGAACAAAAAAACGGCGAGTCGTTTTGAAAGCGAAATGAGGGAAAATAGCTCTATTCGGTAACGGGGGAGGGAAGCTTGATTAAAATATGCAGAGACATAGGTGGCCAGTTGAATGAACGAGTGCGGCAGTGGGATGGAATAACCAATTCCGCAAAGCATTTGCCATGGCAGAAACGATAAATTCGAGACACGGATACTGTATCCCAAAGATGCGAGGGCTTGCAGATTAGCGACCAACGAAGGGAAGTCAATACGATCCTACTTTCCGTCACACATGTAATCTGGGAGTTGAAAGTGTGTAGAAGCAACGCCCTGAACATCACAGCCATTCCATTGTGAAGCAAATATCGACTTATACTATGGGAGTTAAAGGGGTAATTATCCACGACAGTGAAAATGGAAGCTGAGCCTTTTGGGGACCCAAGTTTGGTAGGCGGTGGAAGAACCGGCTTCCTTTTCCAAAGATACTTAATCTTCGACCTACTTTATCTTCTTTTAAGACTAGTTTACCCAAAGCTGTGGTACTACTCGCATGCCTTACATGGTGACTTCCCCTCCCTCTTCAAGAAAAGCCTGTCTTGATCTATTAGACAGAAGAAATAAGGTAGCCATTTATCCCACAGACGACCAAGCAGACTGCCAAATTACATTTTCTTGTTTATGGCCAATTCTTTAGAGCATGCACTACTCCACGTCTTTGCGAAAGCAGAAACTGCTTCCAAGTAGGTAGCCCCCTCGTCTGAACATCGGCCTTTATTCTTTTCCAGAACAGTCTGTGCTCTTTCTTTAAGCTCACTTTTCAAACCACAATTTAATGAAACCACGCCACGGAGTTTTCGGTGTTCCTTTGGTGGTCCAAGTATTTGTTTTCCTTGAGATTAGAGTTCGCCCTAACCTACATTTACACGTCCTGGTGCAGCAAAAAATATACTTGTTCCTTAGAAGCATAGCTGCCGTGCGACTCAGGGGGACAAAGATTGCTCAACCCTTTACAGGAGTAATCGGAATACCGGGTGGACACCGAAAGGGTGTTCAGCTGTAGCACCCTTTCGGTGCCTAACTGCCATGCCACCCGAAGGAAGCACGAGGGCTGGGACAGTGCCAGGTTGCCCAAGCCTAGACAGGGGCCCAAGCCTAGACAGGGGAGTGTATACCGGGAGTGTACCGGGAGTGTATACAAGAAAATGTTGGCAGCTCAGGTAGCGTAGATGGTCGTTGGCTTCTTCGCTGGTGATTGGTGATGAAACCTTTGCAATCAAGTTGTCCAGCTCAGCGAACAAACCAACGACCATATCAGGAGTGAATGTCAACCAGTAGCTCCATGCCTTTAGGCCTGAGCTATCTCAAGCTCCTAAGTAAGCTACAAATTGCATCATCGTGATCATCACCGGCAGCATGACATTAGTGTTCAACACTGATGCTTCACTGCCGTACAACCACGATTCGCTCCAACACTTTATTGTGAAGAAAGGAATAAAGGTGGACGAGAGGAAGGACTTAGTGCTCAATAGTTCCGAGGTGCCTACAGCTCCAGACACTCTNGCTGTAGCACCCTTTCGGTGCCTAACTGCCATGCCACCCGAAGGAAGCACGAGGGCTGGGACAGTGCCAGGTTGCCCAAGCCTAGACAGGGGAGTGTATACCGGGAGTGTACCGGGAGTGTATACAAGAAAATGTTGGCAGCTCAGGTAGCGTAGATGGTCGTTGGCTTCTTCGCTGGTGATTGGTGATGTAACCTTTGCAATCAAGTTGTCCAGCTCAGCGAACAAACCAACGACCATATCAGGAGTGAATGTCAACCAGTAGCTCCATGCCTTTAAGCCTGAGCTATCTCAAGCTCCTAAGTAAGCTACAAATTGCATCATCGTGATCATCACCGGCAGCATGACATTAGTGTTCAACACCGATGCTTCACTGCCGTACAACCACGATTCGCTCCAACACTTTATTGTGAAGAAAGGAATAAAGGTGGACGAGAGGAAGGACTTATTGCTCAATAGTTCCGAGGTGCCTACAGCACCAGACCCTCTTTCACGTAATCTGGATTGAAGCTCACAACAAGACCGCCACTGACATCGCTTGGCAGCCCCATTTTGCAGCGTCTCCAGCTAGGTGCAGTGAAGATCACACTACAATCAGAACTAATACAACTTCCAAGATACGTAAAACGCACCACCACTTCTAGTACCTCTCCCTGGATTTTAAGTAACGTTTTCAGTCCACAAGCATGACCTTACACTTTGTGAGTGCAAACTGCATACCAAAGGACTTTGGTCAGTTCATCCAAAAAAACTTGCGCCTTCTCCTCCTCTTCAAAGACGAGAACGATGTCCTCTGCATATTCCAGATCGACAAGCTTTTCCTCACAGGATATTTGAACACCGGCGTTTTAGAGACCCTTCAGCGTTCGTCTCATGATTTCATTGATCACGAAATTAAACAGGAATGGGGAAAGTGGGCATCCCTGACGGACACCACTTTGTGTACGGATGCTTCTGAAGAGCTCGCCGTATACTCTCACGCGTCCAGACGTCTGGGAATACAAAAAGCTCACTATGTTCACGAACTTCCGGGGCATTCCTTGGTGGACAAGCGTGTCAAGAAGAACAAACAGGTCAAACGAGTCGAATGCGTTTTGGGAATCCGAGAACGCTAGAACTGTAGGTCGCTTATACGTATGGTGTTGTTTTAGCACTTGATGAAGGGTGAATATTTGGTCGGCGCAACCCCGGTTGCTGCTCTCGAATTAGTGTTTCACGAGACACCATAGGGCAACGAAGCACTAGTGAAGTAAACAGTCTCGTTAAGGCCTGGGTCAAGCTGATACCCTTGTGGTTACCACACTCACTATGCCCCTCTTTTTCGAAAATGGGCATTACCATCGACTAGCCCCAGTTGTCTGGGACAGACTCTTCTGTCCAAATGCGAGCAAACAGATCAGACGAGCGCTGATTGGAAACTTTACCCTCATCTTTGAACAGTATGGGTGGGATGTCATCTGGACTAGAGACTCTGTGTCGCTTGAGATACATATGAAATCATAAACCTCCGAGGCCGTAGGTGGTTCCACGTTCACCGTCCGGGATTCTAAGTCACCTGTGGCCACCTCGTCGCATCCAGTTATGCCCGGCACCGGCTGATACATCTCTGAGATTTAAGCAGTGCAACGTTTGGTTTGAGTGTTTGAGTGCGTTTGATGGTGCTATGCCACAGGCGAAATTTCCCAGCACTACGCAAAGAGGTGGCAATCTCGTCCCAGTAAGAGTTTACATCCGATGGCGGAGCATTTGGAAGAGACTCTAGAAGAAGATTCTGGTAAATTGGTCTAACATTCGAATCTGCTATTCTTTCAGTTGCCAAGCGATTTGTCCGCGACTTTTGCGGTCCAGAAAAACGTTGAGAGAAGCGAGTCCAGACGAGTCGGTGGTCGGAATCCACAAATGTGTTCATAAATGGCCCGCAGTTAGTTATTGATCCGCGAATTCGGTAACTGGTGGTAATGTGATCGATTTGAATTTGTGGCCGGTATGCCGTTGCAGGACACCAGACGACCACAGCTATTCCGGAAATTAGTACTGCATAGAAACAGGCTGCGAATGGAGGCTAAAGGGGCAGTTGGCTCAATCACTGAGCTTGCATCTTTAACTCTTCTTTCTGAGATACAGCATAAATCAATGCCAAGCGAGTTCAGTGTAAGTGCAAGAGCAGCTTGTTGTCCTGCTTGCTTCAGAGTGCGGACACTGAACGCGGCCAGATAGAGTGGGTGTCGAGGCTTGAGGACCGATTTGGAGATTCCTGAAGATGTCGGCACCATGTGACGAGCAGATGATGCATGCAAAACCGATGCAAGACGGAGTCGTCAGTCATAGGTGCTAGGCTTACAAGGGGAGAGTTATTAATGGGGCGGGGAGAGGGGGAAGAAAAAGTATGTGAAAGAGAAACAAGGGAGGTGTCAGCCGTAGCTTGTTCTCGGTCAACCGCTCTGCTGTACGCAGCGAGTAAAGCGACTCGGCTGATGGCACCATGTGACGGCCGATGCGGCATGATAGTATTGTTAGTTGTAAGTGTCATGGTTGTACGTGGGCTTGTACACTGTCAGGGCGCCCACACCTAGACAGGAGGATGATTTGGGTCCTCAACCAAAGGCTCGAAAGCCTAACCGCAAGACAGCTGTGTTTGTCGGAAAATACGAATGCATTGCCATTTCTACGGAACAATTCGTCACATGTTCCAATCACCAACCTGGAGGACCAGGAGACTGTGTTCGTCAGATCTCTAACCATTGATCAACCTGGTATGAGACTCTATGAGCGTCTGAGGGACACCCCCGGTATAGCCCAATGGGTCGCCAAGGTGCGCGAACCGTCACACCACGGTG